GGACTCTCTTATCAAGTCTACCTCATCAGTAGCTCTTCCACTTCTACAACTTCAGCCCCTGCTTATTCTCTTTCCAGTTATTTTTATACTTGAAAATAAAAGTGATAATAGTGGTAAATTATATATAACATCACACAATTGTTATCTGTCCTAGAAAATCCAAGTATTCCATTTTATGCATTGTAAAGTGTAGAAGAGTTCTGAAAACATGGTCTAATATACAACACAAATATAATGGATGGGATTAAGCAAGCACAGACTAAAAACATAAGCATAAAAAATTCATTGTCATCAATGATGACACAGCACATCTCATTGGGATTCTTAGGTGAAGTAAACAGTGGAAGTCAGTAATAATCAAATGGGCAGTATTGCCAGCTCTAAAAACCACGCATATGTTAAAACCTTCAAAATAATCAAAAAGTATTAATGAGACTTTAAGAAAATCCACTGGTCTTTGATCTGTCTCCTGAAACTTAAATAGAGAACTGGTCATCTCTCAATGAACATCAAGTTACTGGGGGTTAAAAATTCAGTCGTACAGGTAGCTCCATGGGAAGCATTGAAAAAAATCTCCAAATGGGCCCAATCTGTTCTTCCTCATCAGCAGGACTGACTTTAAAATAATTTTAATAAAAAAATGAATGTTCATACTTTCAATTTGCCTGCTGTTCAGCAAGCCTTAAGGATGCACCCAAGATGTTTTTGCCAGGGTTTTCTTCACAGCTATGACAACCATGGGGGTATGACGGCCCCGAAGCAGAGCCCTACAGTCATTAGGAGCTGAAGTATCCAGAAAAACAGCAATTATTACAAAGTCACTAAAGATGGTAACATTGCAAGTTGCCAAACTATACACGCAAACATGGAAGGTGAGTTTGACACTGCCTTGTTCAAGACGTAGTGGAAGTAGAAGTGTCACTTCTTAGACTGAAACTATGTCACAGGTCATCTTGTATGACACAGGCTGTCAAATTTAACCTAGCTACCATTATAGTGAGCCCAATAATTTGTGCTGAGTGAAGTACATCTCTAACAAATTTACGGTATTGACTAGATTTCTTTAGGGGAAACAGAAATCTCCGTTTCCTTCGATAGCTTGCTCTGACAGCATTACATCTTCTAACTAAAAGTTCTTGGTGTGTCTGTGCTCAAGAATTCAAAGAGCTCTTCATATAACCCAGTTCACTAAAGCTGAAAGGTATTTATTTGTATCGGTAACAAGCAACTCGGTGTTCAATACTTTGAGAAGCTGAGCAAGCAGAACTCTCTAAGACTTTCAGACTAAGCAGCAGAGAAGATGTCTTTACTCATTTTGGTGGGTTTTTTTGAGCATCCTCTTCCACTTAGCTCTAACTTCCTCTCTTTAGCCCACTTCCACAGCCTTCAGACATTCACTGCCCCGTTTCCCTGCACTTGCTTAGTTTTCGGCTCCATTCCACCTACTTTTGCTAAGATAGCCTACCTTTGAATTTTTCCCTTTTCTATCTCCGATTCCTCGTACCTTGAATTTTCCCAGTGACACAAATAGAACAACTATCTGGACTTCCTATTACTTTATACCAACCACACTCAATTAATTCCTCAGCTTCACACTGCATGCCTGAAGTCCATCATAAGCCCTGAGAACAGGTTGTCTCCCATCCCACAGCAAGGTAAAAAATACCAGGAATCACTACCATTGAGGCCAAACTCAGGTTTGCTGGAGAATGCCACTAGGAAGTGGTGATCAATTTAACTAAAAGCTGCTCGTCGCTAAATTCTACTGAAAAAAACCCAAAGAATAACGGCCATTAAGGAAAGAAAAATTTATAGTTATAGTCAGATACTAGGAAACGGAAAATAGAAAAAGAAATAATTCAGGAAAAAAATATTCTAAAACCCATTACATTTCTACTAAAGAGGTTGGCATACCTGAATGCAAAACCCAACAAGACATGTGGCGGGTTAGACTGCAGTGGTGCTTTAGGAATGTTTCCTTTTTTTTACTGTTTGCCAAAAGAAAAAGGAAAGACCAGCAATTGCTTCCAGAATACCGCTTCATGACCAAATGAGATATGCCTTGTCAATCAGACATTTGAAGTACGCACTAATTAGTGTACCAATATGAAATGTTTATTTTAATCTGAAATTGCTCAAATGAAGTATGTAAAAAAAGTCATTCAAATCACAAGCTACACCAATCTAAAGAATGCAAACTCCCTACAGAGCACAGGAAAAGAACAACCTGAAAAACTCCTGTGTCAAGTCTTGGTGGTATTTGAAAAAGCAAGATAATAGACTTATGTAGGATTGTAACCACACTGGTATCTGCTGGGTAACGAATCTCCCACTGGCTGTGAGTAGAGAGACACATTACAAAAGACAAGTCCAATCTAAAGGTGGACTATAGTGCTGGAGATGCCATTGAGAACCTGTTTTTTTTCTTTGTTTTTTGTTTTGTTTTTTTTTTCATTTCTGCTTCTTTTTTTGATCAAGGTATGTGGTCAGCTGTGGTTCTTCTGCCACATATATAGTGACAAATCTGGTACACAGCTTTGTTATCAGACATTCTCAAGGAACAGATTTGTTCACTTTCCCACAAACTATTCCACAGCCTCATTCAGACAGTTTTGCATTAAAAAACCTAGAATTGATAGAATCTATATTTTAGAATGAACATGAGCAAAATTATCTTCATAGGCACAGAAGTGGACAGATCCTGAAGTCAAACTATGTCAGGCCTCATAGCTGACACAAATCAACACGCCTCCTCTGAAATCACAGGTTTTCAGGTGACCATCCTAATTACCCTACAATATAAAAGAGATGATTGAAAAGTGACAGATTACATAAGCTAAAGAAGAGTTTCTAGGATTTAAGTTTTATAACATATGGATATCTTGCACTTATTTCATTCGAAACTTTAAAATGTGGATAATTCAGCTTAACAAAGGTACTGCAGTTCTGTCTCCTGTTTTTATAATAATGGTATCAAATAAACCTGCTGTGAGGGAAATTGTAGACAAGCAAGCAAAGTCATACCAATCGCACAGGAATAAGAAAGAAAAGGGGATTATTTTTTTTTAGTTGCATCCCTCTTCCCCAGAAAGTGGAATTCCTTTGATATTTAGGAAGGGGACGAGCAGAAATTTGTGAATCCTGTCCAGTATGTAGATGTATTTTGTGACCCGCTGGTTGGCATTTGCTTTTTAGATCACTATTTTTCCTTTTGCCCTCAGCTCAGATGAAATCTTTGCACAAGTGACAAGGGTTTCGTAATGCAACAACCACGCCATCTTGCAAGGACAAAACATTTTTCTTTCCTTTTTAAGAATGCTGTGGAAAATTACATAACTGAAAGCAACGATGAACAATTTTTAAACTTCAGATTGAAGTAAGATTAGGGAATTTTAGCTACACAATGGGCCAAGCAAACTTAATTCTACCTATTTGTGCACATGCTGTGACACAATCTTCATCTATGTGATTTCATGCATATTTTTCTTCCTCCCAGAAGAATGTCCTATTTGGAGCACTGAATGGGTACACTTGGGATCAAACTAATGCTGTGAATAATCTGGAATTTCCTAATTTCTAGGTGCTTGACTTTGCAGGCTCAATAACACTTTTTCATTTAGATGTCTTAAATATATAATTATTCAGATGGCTTAAATGTGCTTTTTGCTTACAAAGTCTTTTTTCTGTTTACATATCATACTCTAGCCTAAATAAATGCTAAGACAAAGGCCAAGCTGGCTGGTAGCCCAGAATGTAGTCGTTACTAAATTGACGGGGACCACCTTAAATTCATTGAAATGTCTAAATATTGTATTTGAGTTATAACTAAATTTTAAAAGGTGATCTTTACTGAAAGAAAAACAGAGTGACTTTAGATAAGCATAAACAAGTTGCTGGATGAAATGAGAACTGAATGTCAAAGTATGGTCTGACTTACCACAGCTCTCCATTACCGTAAAACACCAAACACTTAACGACAGGAAGTATCCTCACGTTACCATGTCAACAACTAATGGCCTTCGTTTATGTTAACAACTAACTTAGAAATTTCCAATAAAAAAATCCACCGATCCAAAATATGTCTAAAAAAACCATGGAAACCTTTCCCCAAAAGTAACTAATTTTGATAATTCTTAAGGTGACTTTTCCTTTTTCCTTAGAGAATCTTACATAGAGTCTGATAAAATGTATGGTAAATGTGAACACAGTAGAATTTAAAGATGGCTAGTAATCATTTATTTTGCAAAGGCAAATAAAACTGGTACTTTTTCCGTTCTACTGAAGATCTAAAAGGTGCAAGGTTTGGCTTAAAGTTTTCTTCTACTCGTTTCCTTTTTGCTTTTAAAACTTTTGGAGTATCAAAGTCTTGTCATGCTTTTATACATAAGAGTGCTGGAGGACAAGACGACTAGAATGGAAGTCCCCCTCGGTTCCCATCTGAAGCAGCAGGGTGATGAATGATTAACACTGAGGTTTTGGGTTTGTCTTTTTTTTTTCCTCTCCTGGCATTTTGCCAGAAGCTTGAATTAAACATTTTAAGACTAGCCAAACAAAATGGGAGTTTTACACAGTCTGATTAAATATCCCTTTCCCCTCTCAAATGCCAGTTTCTTGTGACAGATGATGGCTTCATCTTTCTGCTTTTCCAGCTACCCGTAACCTTCTAGTACAAAAAGGATAGACAAGACCTGATACATACACAAAATCAAACAAAACCTTTGCAGAAACCTTACAGCTGACTTTAAAATCAAAGCAAGCTCTTTGGGCTTTCCTAATCAGTCTTAAAAATATGTAAAAGGCAATATAGTTTTGTCTCCTTTTTGGGTCACTCTTTAGATCTAATCAGGATTTTACTCTGGCAAGATAGGCAAATCCCCGTGACACGAACATGCCATATGAAAAGCACAAGATGTGTCGAAATTTAAAACTTACTAATGCTGACATTCTGGCCTTACTAGATATTAATAAAATTATAAGAGTGTGGGGTGAAGGTATTATACCTGGTCATGGCTGGCTTCAATGGAGCTTCCGATACCTTGGAAAGTCATCTGCACAGGAGACAGTGTCAAACAGGTCATACACTCTTTGCCATTTTGTCTATCACTGTAGTGTACCTATAACAGAATAACATACGTAATCTGCTAAACACCAGGTTTGTACAAGGGAGTCATGCTAAAATACTGTCCCTTTTCAACAAGTTCGTAAGAAGAATTCCAAACATTTACATTGAATTCATCTTTAGTATAAAACAAGGAGTGTGTAAAATATCCTAGGTAGTCACACACTGAACTGGGGCCAAATTTTGTGTGGTATGTCTGTTGGGTAGTTTTTAAAGTGCTGAGTTCTTCAGTTTCTGAGACCTTTGAGACTGCATTCAAGATGTTGTATCTACATAATTAGAAGAATCTAGTTTTAAGTTATAATTTCCAGCCTAAATGTCATTTTGAAACAGCATTTTGTAGCTCAGGTATAAAACATCCATGTAAATCGTTATACCTCCAAAACCTTGGCAATAATAGTTTCAATTTTTCAATTTCAAATCCATTTCTACTAAAATCCACTAACTCTTTTGACAAGGCTACCGTTGTATATTTGAATTCGATTTTGTAATTAAATCAAAATGACAGATAAAATGGAGAAGAATTCACATTCTTCTTGAGACGGCTAGGCTATCCTTTTCTAAGAGTAACTCATCCCCCACTGACATCAAGATGTGCACGTCAAATCTGAATCTTGCATGAAATACAGAGGAAGACAGTGCTTCTACTCGAGTTATTCTCCTTGTCTTCACGTTCCCTTCAGATAGTTCTTAAATCCCCTAAAGAAAGGATGGATTCTAATATGCGGAGACAAAACAAAATTACATGTTGCCAGTGTTTCGTTATTAAGAACAGGTTGCCACTCATGCTGAATTGTTGAAATATTACAGTTCTCTGCATAGCTCCTGGCTTCCAGACAGGCAGATCAAGCACTTCGTTCTACAGGAGAGGTGGAATTTAGTTTATGGTGGTAATTCACATTGGCTATGTGACCCCTGTCAGAAATGGAAAGAGAGCTCAGCTCTGCTGGAGACAGACCTTTTATGTTAGTATCTATTTACAGCTGTATAGCTCTCAGGCAAAAGTTACATGATAAAGCCTCATATTGACATTGAGGCTACAAAATTAAACTTTCCTATTTCTGGAGACAACTCAGAATCCTATTAGAGTTACTCCAGGGGAAATCATTTAGTGACGTATATGATGCTTAATTGCACACCGTGCATATGAAACCCCCTGTGTCTAGCTCTTCTCTGCCACAGGTGCAAATTGGGAATGCTTCAGCTGATGCAAAATCCCTGCAAAACTGGCTGAGTGAGAGGAAAACCAAGTCAACGCTCTATTTTGGAATTACTTTACCGACAACACATCAAAACAGTTTTGCTGTGGCCAAAAGTAAGATACAGAACGTAAAATTCTTGCACTGCGTATAGAAATATTGATTTCACTCAGCACTCTTAAAGCTTTCTGGATTATCCCTGTCTCTCTTCCTCTCAACCCCCACAATACGTGCCTACTAAATTGCTTGTGGCTCTCTGCCAGAAAAGCCATACTACTTAGAAACCACAAGAGGCCCCTTTCACATATACAATGCTTTAACTTTGATTAATCGAAAGAGGTACGAAGGTATGAAATTTGGCTTGCAAATATAAACTGCAGTTCTTTAAATGTCAGCGACTACTGTTACGACGAGGACTTATCAAGCTTCCCCAACTGCGGTATCTGGTTGCAAGCTAGATAATTCTGCTGCGCACATGTTGTGGGAATGCGATGTACAGAAATGGGGCAGAAAAGCTCAGGAGGACGATTCTGTACTGCAAATATGACATAGCAAAAGGGGCAAAATTCTGCTGACTGAGAAAAGAGACGGAGAGATGGAAAAATGGCACTTTCTGAACTGCATAGCATGTTTGCAGGCTTATTTTTAATGAGAATAATATGAGTAAGGTTACACTTCACTAATGTCCACTGGAATAAAGCAAGGCTAACGAGCTGAAAGAACATTAGATATCCAGAGGAAAAATGATGATGAGTAGTATATGACACTATTATCTGGAATAGCAGATTTGATCCACACCCCCTTTGGAGTCCCACACTGAAATTGCAATAAATTCAGAATTTTCGTATCTTTCTAGGCTTAAATTTCCTGAAGGAATGTCATGATTCACTTTTGGCCTCATCTGAATGTATCAAGGTCATTACTTTGTAATTTCTTAGACAACAGTCTTCTAATTATCTCTTGCCCTGTTGAAGCTCTTCAGCTGAACCAAAATAAATGCTATGTTAATGATATGAATAGTGATATAAAAAAAGCAAAAGAGTAGACTTTGAATGGGGGACCGAATAAAACTTTGTCCTTTCATCAAATCTCTCTAGTCTACAGATTTGTGCAGTCAGCAGAAACATTCAGATTTCTTCTACGTTTGGCATGCCTATGTGCAATTCCCCAGTAAACCTGCTTTGTTATTTATCAGTCTAGCTGCTATATTCTCCAACTCTCTGTTTTATTCCATTCTTCTTCAAATTTGATCTATGATCTGAAGTTTGCGGTTTTTTGTCAACCAAGAGCGCTAGGTATTTATCTATTTGAGCAGTATGTCCAAAACAGGCACTCAGAAAGAAACGGTAGTACTCAAATAGTTATCAAATAGTCTGAACAGCAGCAGATGCTTCTACGTTTTTGGCCAGCAGTATGTTGCAAATATTTCAGTTTATATGTCCATGCGGCTAAGTACGGGAGGAACCTGAATGTCTCTAAAACTGGCTTAAGAATATCATATCATCTAAGGCAGGGGAGCATGAAGGCAGAGCAAATACTTGATTCAGTATCTGCGATCAAGGAGTGGTGACTGAAGGCTGGCCAAGTGCTCCAGCGGTGATTACGTGGCCATTATTGAGATTCACGACGACAATAACCCTTTTCTAAGTTCCTCAGTGCCTTAAGAGTCAAGAGTGCTTAACTACGGCGCACCACCGCCATAACAGGTAAGGTCACTTTGTGGACAGACGTGAAGTGACTCATCCAAATTCACCCGGCACTGGCAGGAGTGAATGGCAGTGCTGGGACTATAACCCATCGTTAAAGCCTCTGGCCTAACCACAACTGGTCATTTTCCCTTTCCTTATATTATAGAGGTAAAAATAAAAGAACTATGCAAGTCATTACTATCTATGTCCAGGATCTAATTTTTAGGCTTCAATTTTTTGTAATTAAGGGACACTCACAAATGAGCTCAGTGCAGTTTAAGGATTAAACAGCAATGAAATTTCACTCCTTAAAATTCAGAATGTTTTCTTTAGATAACATGTAAGCCAAGATTTTATAGAACAGCATTACGATCTGGTTAGAAAATAATGGCCAGCATACAGATGTCAGAATACAGAGTTGTGCAAATTTCTGAGTAAAATGCAAGACTCCAGCCTCAGACTATTATGAGTGATTTACACGTAATTCTCCTCCAAGGTGTGCCTACACAGCACAAAGCAGTGCCACAACAACAAGATCCTGGCAATAACTCGACATGAGTCTGCTCATTTATTGAAAAAAGCAGACAGCACTGCTAGTTTTTCTCCTGGGGAACTACATACGTGGAGTACCCAAGATAAATCATCTCTAACCAGCTCAGGAATCCCAAACACAGCACTCCGTTGTGCTGTGTGCGCAGGGCATGAAACCTCCGTGTGTAAAACACAAAGTGCATCCCGGGCACTAAAATAACAAAATATATTCTCCAAGTAATTTTTTCCACAGGCACATGCCATGGATTTACTCATACGTGTACGCTTCCGCCTTCAATATTCACACAAGACGCAACCGTATATCCTTTTCGCAGATTGCTTCAGTCAGGAACAAGCTGCATGGTACAAGTATGTACGGAGGGGTACTGCTAACTGGTGTAGGTATATAGAAACGTATGTGAAGGTCTGAAACCATTTGACAGCTATGTTGAAATTAGGCCCCCGTTTTTAATATTTTAAATTACTGAAGAGATGTAAATATTTTGATGGACGTTTATAGCTTCACATAAAGGAAGAGAGAAGATGACTGTTTACAATACTTACAACTGAATGTGGAATGGCATACCCAAAATTCTCAACCTTATGTGTTATTTTATAAACGAAAACCTCAATTACACTGCATAAAACTGCATAAGAAATTACATTTAAGGTTACTTCTATCAGAATGACGCTCCAAAAGCAGGAAATGTCCCACTTCTTTTGTATTTATATAAAGACGTCTCCCGAATCTAGCTTTACTAGAATACCCTTCCCTATGTGCAAGTGTTCTGATAGAAACTCTAAAAATATTGCAGGGTTTGTCTTGCAATAAGCTACTTTAACACACTGGATCAATACACAATTCCAGATAATGGCCATAGTTAATCTGCATACATTATTCTGTAAATACAACGTCCGTAACTTCAGGAACCGGATAGTCTGCTGGTCTTCAGTGGGCACTTCTGAATTTGAACATCCATCCTTTTGCGTGAACAAGGGCTACGGTTTACTGAATCACAACTAAGGAAGGTGAGACACCTGTTATACTACTACACAGTTAAGCTTAACTACAACATACTAAACTACTGTTAGAAAGGAGTTAACTGAGCATTAACAAGAGACTGAGGGGAGCAAAAATAAAGGTTACTATTTTCACACACTGCTCCTTAGATGTTCACAGTTTGAAACACAACTTCTGTCTGGCCAAATGCTTTCTTTCTTGACCATTTAATAACTTAAAAAAAAAATAATAATATGAATTACTAAAAGAAAGAAGTCATCTGTGACACTGGAGTTCATGTTTCCAAACCAAAACCTACTCTGAGTCAAAGCATCAGCAGGAGTCTTAGAATGCTAGACAGAAATAAACTAGGTAATAAAATGCCATTATGTTCAGCAATGCACAAATCTTCTGGATTGACAAGCCCAGACTATTTTGTTAGAACAAAGGACGGTATTCCTTTAAATCTGCCCCTTAAAGGGAAAGCACCCAATTTAGTCCTGAACTTACAGAATCATTTCCAAGATTTTACACAGGTTGCTCTGGCTTTACAGTGACAAGCAAAGCAGAATGGGCT